TACTCTCAATTTTGTTCTAATATGCTTGGTCTTATGTTGTGTTGAGATCTTTGTTGTTATGGAGTTGATAAGGTTTTAGACCTTAAAGAATCTAGTCCTATTTTACATATAGGAGGTCTTATAGAATGCTTTTTTTGTTCTTTATGAGTGTAAAATTCACTCTTCAACCGAATTATAAGATGGCTTTAATTAAGAGTTTTTTTAATAGGTGGTATGAAGTAAAAGTAGTAAGAACAAGAACAAAAGAAGAAAAATACAAAACAAGTGGAACAAGTGCAATCAAGCAATTATACATTATAAAACTAATCATGGTCTGTTCACTAAGTTTTTATCTAATAAAAAATAAAAAATAAAAGTAAAAATATATATTTATATAAATTTAATCTTTTTATCTTTCCAATGGTATAAAAAATAAGTAAATCCGAATTACTATGAGTAAGTTATGAAGATTTGAAAAATAACAAGTAAACAAATAAAAAGTTAAATAAATAATTTATACCTCAAGGATAACTTGCTTAAGAGATCAGGAGTTTGAGCCTCACCAAGGCTCACAAGTATTATATATCAATTTTTAAGAGAGGCCACGAGGCCTTAGTCTTATCTTCCTAACTACTTTCAAGGTGCTACAATCTATATAAGACTTGTGTACCTCCCTTTATACAAGGACTATACTAGCTACTAGTTCTCCTATTTTCTACTAGTAAAACCAATAATTTTGCATTTTTGACTTCGCCATGGTATTTAAAAATATCTTATTCGTGAAAGAACTCCATGCGGCTTTCAAATCTTACTCCATTTCTTCATAATGGCTTATGAAGTAGTAAAACTCATTTTTACCAAAGTCATAGAAATTGCTCTAAAAATTCCTAAAACATTCTAAATAAATTCTAAAACTTCATGTAACCTTTTTATAATATTAAAATAAATTTTAAGCTATATTTTCTTGCCTTGATAATTTTTTATAGTAATAAGATTAATTTAAATTTACTATATATCCTACTTTCTATATAACTAACTAAGAAGACATGAGGTTCTTTCTCATGCTTCTTCTAACTACTAACTAACATTTATAGTTTTTTCATAAGTAATATGTATAGGTAGAAGGCCAATATAAATATTGATCTTAATAATTATCTCTCAATATTCAATAATAAATAAATAAAAATACTGAACCAACTAAGATAATTACCTCCAAGACTTACTAAGACTCCAATTTTACAATTAACACTCTAATTTTCTATTTGTCTAAAGATTTCTATATTATTCACCATATATTATGGTTCTAAGGACTCTAAATGCATCTTTTTTATCCTAAAATAATTAGTGAGTTGATTTGATGACTCACATCCTTAATCTTATCTTAAGAGTTTCTAATTTTTTTTGTCTTGGATAATATCCATTCTAGTATAATATCATACCATCATTGAGTGATTATTTATTTTTTATTACTGAAATAAGAGTGTAATGATCTTTTGATTCTTTGTAATTCATATCTTTAATAATATGATAAAAGTGTTAATTCATTTTTTTTATTTTGTTTTAGAAGTAAGTCGATAATTTCACTTTTTTATTATGCTTTAAAAATTGTAAACTACCTACTATCAAATTAACATTTTTTTTATATTTAATTCTTTTCTAAAAGAAAGTAGACTATCTCAATTTTTAAAAATTTTCATTTGATATTATGGTTATAGATTTTATTTTTTTTAATTTGTCTTTAAATTTTTTAAAATTTTTTAAAATTTTTTTATTACAAAAGTGGAAGGAAAAAACATATATACTACATCCAATAGAAGTGAAAATAGATTTTCAACCATTGCAAATCATCACAAGTTTGTTAACACTCTTAGAACCAAAATCTCATGTATTATCAACATCACCTATAGAAGTATTATTTCTACATGCATGGAAGAAATTAACAATGAAGTTCAAATTTTATGCTATAAAGTTGTACAATTGAAAGAATTAAATAGATCAAGCTCATACTTATATCCAACAAGTTTTACTACTATAAATATGTGGGAAGCAAGAATAATTATTTTTAAAAATTTTAATGGAACAAGATCAAAATTTTAAGAATTCCTATAAAAAAATTAAGCTCTATTTAAGGTTGTATCTTTTCTAATACCTTGATGGATTTATTAAAGTTGGATTCATAGGGGTAATTTTATTTTATAGTATTGTCTTTTAATTTGTATTTTTGATAGAAAAAGATTTATGACTCTTTTATAATTTAATTTTATTTTTTAAAATATTTATGAGAATATTTTTTTTAAATGATAAAAAAATAGAAAAGATCAAATTTTTATCTTTACAACAAAGATTATGTTTAGCTATCTCATATGATCTTAAATTCCAAAATCTTGCTTACGACATGAATTTGAATAACAAAGCCTTTATCAATCAATTTTGATATGAGTTTAAAGATAATATTAAAGATTTATTGTTGATAATATTAAAAAAAACTCATTAAAATAATTTATTATTTAAGTCATTTTATATAACAATCAATTTTTTGAAAAATACCAAGAGCAAAGATTTGGTTAAGTTGATATAAGTCAAGTCATAGTAACAATTCATAGGTTTTCATAAACTTATTTATTAAGGTCAAAATTTATGCAAATTGACACAATATATATCAAACCTCTTAATAATCAAGAAGAAATTCAATGCCATTAAAAAAGATTGTGCTTATATTATAAAGAACCTAAGCACTTTGCTCAATATTATCCAAAGAAGCCACACAATCTTAAAATGACAAGCATGGTTACCAAATAAGACAATGTATTGAAAAGGAAATTTTTCCAGCTACAATAAGGATCATGTAGCTAAAATCTTGTGTATTACTTAGTAAAGATCTTATTCTTTCTTCACATTCATCACCTTGTTTTACAATAGATATTTGTTTAGGATCAAAAAATTCTAAATTTTATGTCTTATTAGATTTAAGAGCATTAGCTTATTTTATAGACAAAGACTTCTAAAATGTTACCACATAGCTCTCAATTAGATAGTATATATTGATGCAAGAATGAAGTCTTTTTCATTCTTGAAAATATTTTCCTTATTTTTAGTCTTGACTCAAGAATCTCTAATTTTTTTGTCTTTGGCAATAGCCATTTTAATTTAATATCATATCATCTTTAAGTGATCATTGATTTTTTTCTACATAAGAGTGTGTTGACCTTTTGTTTCTTTATGATTCGTGTCATTGATATCATCCACTTCTATAAAAAGAAGTGATATTTTTTTTCTATTCAATATATATATATATATATATATATAATCTTGTATGACTCAAGAAAAAACATGTGAAACACAAGATGGATCTCCATAGAATTTTATAGATATAATTGATATACAACTAGATTGATTTGTTTACAAATAAGAAATAGTCTAAGTCTATAATAATCCAACTTGTTATAATAGCAACAAATCTTAATATTACCACAAAGTAATCATATATTGTAACTAACATGAAATTAAGGTTTTTCCTTCTAATAGGTATTTATGTTAATTTTTTGTTGTTCTTGAGCTTCTTTTAAATCTAAATACAAATGTAATTGTAATTCTAAATCTTAAATTCTAGTCATTTGATTACACCTTCGTATCTTAACAAATTGAATATGTTGCAACTATGTTTTATAACATAAAGAAGGAAGAAAGAAGTGGAAGGAGGAAGAAGTGGGATGGTATTGAGTGAGAATGTGCTTCCACAGTTGGTGTATTGGAATTAGGTACTTATGGATGCTTCAAAATCAAAGCCAATGCAATACAACATCAAAAAGAAACTTCAAATCTCTTTTTTCCAAAAAAAAACTCTTGTATTCATCTATATTATTGTCCATAAAATTTAAAAGTTTTCCTATTCTCAAATTGAAGGAGTAATCACATAGATTAAATCATGGAAGTAAAACAAATCAATTGAAGAGTTAAGTGGGTCAATTTAACATCTCCTTTACTTTATAATAGATCAATTTCAAGATCCTTAGATGTGTAATAATAGATGAATTTTATTTTAAAACTACCTTAAAACAACAATATTCAAAGTGCATTTCTATATATATATATATATATATATATATCAATGATTAGTTAGCTCTGAGTCTGTGTAAACCTAAATTTTTTTCATATCAAAGTTCAAAATTTTCAAGATAATTACTTGTATTTACCATGATTGTATTCATGACATAATAAGAATGACTGTAATGCTGAAATAGTTTCACACGTTTTCTATTTTAAAATAAATCTAATGGTTTTTGTATTTTTTTAAAAAAATTATCAAAAATAAATTATGATTTGTTTATTTAACATGAAAATATAAAACTAGTACTTACCGTCACTATCACTATTAATGCAATCTTTTTTTTAAAATATTTTTTTTTCTGATTAATATGATTACCAACACAGAATTCAAATTCTTAAATTTAACGATCTTATCACACTAAAGATAAAACAAAAAAAAAAGAAAAAAAAAGAGAAAAAAAAGAAAAAAAGATAAAAAGATAAAAGAAAAAAAGAAAAAAAGATAAAAGAAAAAAAAGAGAGGTGATGAAAACCATAATTATTACTGTTTCTATTTAAAATAACGAGATGTCTCCATGTAACAAACTTCACAGAAGAGAAGCAATTTCAAGTCCGATTTAAAGGGAGTTAAATGAGCAAGTCCGCATGGAAAAGGGGGCAAAAATCAAAGAGACAGTTGCAGCCACACCCAATGGGCGACGAGGGACGTGTCCGCATCGCAGAGGGCGAGAGACGCAACACAGCAAGGAGAGGAGCGTCCGCACAAACGGAACGGGGAACGAAGGACGGGGAACGGAGGAGAGTAAGGTGAACAAGGAGGAGGAAGACGGGGAGGGTGGGTAATTAATCAATTAATGGCAGCCCTCGTGGCGCGGGAGAGGCGCGGGGGGCCTTTCCTGGCCCCGAATGAGGGCCGAGGTGGGGGGGGGGGTCCGGAACGCGGGGCATTAGGAGGGAGAGGGGGCGCGGGGGGTGAAAGAGTGGATGAGTCCGGCTTGGGGTGGGGGCGTGGGTGCGCTTGGAGCTCGGCAGATTTCGGGGCCGCCTCCTCCTGGTCCTCCTCAGATCATGAGACTGACGATGTCCCCGTAGAGAGAGAGAGCGGTGGTCCCCGCCGCTGCTGCTGCTGGGTCGATGTTCGAATCCACCACCCTTTCATTCTTTCTTTCATTCTGTCTTCCGCTGTGGTGTTAGTTTGTCTGGTCGGAGCTTCGTAGCTGCTGCCCCACTTGACAGTGTAATTTCGGCAGGCAAGGGAAGGCAAGGGAAGGCAAGAGGGGATTGGAGTGGGATTTGGAGTGGGGGCATGAACCCTGCATACATACTTACCCTAGACTCTGTATTTCTCTGTCTCTCTTCGTTTCTTTCCCTACCCTTTCCTCTTTTTTAGTCCTTCCTTTTGTGTTTTTTGGGGTGTACAATTGGAAATGATGCACCGAAGCTCCATCGCAAAATGTGATGTAGTGGCTTTGTAAAGTTTTGCAGTACAGGTCCTGGCTGGAGATTTTAGCAACTGTTTTGATACTGAGGGAGAGGGGGTGTGTGTAAGGATGGTTCGAAGTGTGTAGTGTGGGGCTTTCAGGCCCTGGGCTGCCAAAATGCGAAAAGGTGGTGGAGTGCATTTGGAGACCGTGTATAGACGAGGATTGTCGATTTGGGCGGGCAGTTGTGATGTGGATATGACCTAGTATTTTTAGGTTCGATTCATGTTCGCGCCTGGTTTGAAAATTCGATAGGATTCGGCTGTTAGATATGGGCTTTTGGGAGTTTCAATTGCAATATTGCTGCAGAAACCGAAATAATTTCCAGCATTGATGGTCTGAATATTGACCCAACAAGTTTTGGTTCTGTTTATCTTATTTTGTTTTATATATATATATATATATTTTTTTTTTGGGAGCAAAAATCTGTCTGTGAGGTTTGGCGAAGAAAGGGTGTCAAGATGGCGGACAGTCACCTGTCGCAAGTACAGCTGATTCAGTCCCTCATAGACGTGGTTAATACCATAGGTTTAAAAGGAGATTATATCAAAAGCCACAAGAAGGAGTGTGCTTTGCTGACCAGGAGAGTGAAGCTGCTGGCACCACTATTCGAAGAGCTGAGGGAGTCTCGTCAGAAGATGTCTTATAAAACTTGTACTGCTCTTCATGACTTAGAAGAAGCTCTGCAATCAGCGAACAAGTTGCTCCAAATGTGCCATGATGGAAGCAAGCTATACCTGGTCATTTCATCGCACTCTGGAATCTCCCCTCTATAATTCTAGAACCTATGGCCACTTTTCACCTTAGCGCCTTATTTGAAGCGCTCTCTCTTTCTCTCTTACTCTCTCTCTTGTTTGTTTAAACAGCGTCGATGAAGTTTTTAGGTCTAACGAAGAATATTCGTGTACTTCTTTATTTATTTATTGGGAATTTATCATAATAACAATGATGATGATTTCTACTTGTTAGTTAGGAGTTCCTATGCTGTGCGCAGTGGCGTAGATTTGTTATTCAAGAACTGACGTTGACATGGTTTTTCTAGGTCTTGGAGAGACAAGCTGCCGCAGAGCAATTTGATAAAGTGAATGCCGACCTGGAGTGTGCACTGGATGCACTTCCATACGATCAGTTTGCTTCAGATGAAGTTAAAGAACAGGTATGATTGGAACGGACTCAGAATTATCCTCGTGTCATAGGGACAATTCAACTCTTATGTTGTTCTGCTCTCTACGTTTGTTTTTACAATCACGTTGACTGGTATGCATTTTCATTGAATGCTAGGAGATGAATGGATTGAACCTTCCGTGATTCCCTGCTTCCAGCGGACACGCAAAAGAGGTTTGCATTTTGGTTGTATACATCATCAGTTCATTAGAAAAATATTATCTTACGCTGAGTAGGAGAATATGGTACCAGGGTCTTTCTCTGTGTGAGTATTGATCACAATTCTAGTCAACATGCTGCTTTAGCACTGCTTCGGCTGTTAATTCGGCTCTCTTACTGTACAGGTTGACCTTGTTCGAAGCCAGCTCAAACGTGCTAAAGGGAGGGTAGATAACCACGATTCACAAATCCATTCAAGTTTGGTTGCAGTCCTACATGAGAAGGAGGATAGTTCAGCTGGATTTGAAGAACTTCAGATGTTAGCGGAGAAACTTGAACTGCGAACTCCTGCTGCCATTAGACAAGAGAATCAAGCATTGCAGGAGATGATGCTTGAGAAACAGAACCTTGGTGACGATAATCATGAGCAGGAAATGTGCTTTCAACAGTTGTTCACTGTTTTGCGAAAGCTGACGAGTATCTTACCACCAGAAGAATCAGATGAGGACACTCCTGAGTTAGACAGGGTAAACATTGCAGCTGGAGTTTACGTATCAAAGGCTACGAAGCACCACGCAGAGATCCGAGCAGGGTTAGGTATTGAGGGACGGGGTTCGCAGATATCAGATGTCGAAAGCGCGGGCGCTGAGAAAGCGAAGATGCAAGTAGTACCCGACGATTTCAAGTGCCCGATTTCGTTGGACTTAATGAAAGATCCTGTAATTGTTGCAACTGGGCAGGTTGGTTGGCTCGATCATATTTGACCGTTTTTTACACAGTCTCTGCAGTTCGTCCCGGCAGTATTGCCTGCACAATCAGAGAGTGTACACGTGTCTCCATGATTGAAACAGAGCTTTCCTTCAATTGGAAGGCTACAGTCCATTTTTGTTTAACAGAACAGAGACAATAATGTTCTTGGCTGTGAACAGGTTGGAGTTTTCGAAACTGAACGTTTTGTGTTTCTGCTTACAGACCTATGAACGTGCATGTATACAAAGATGGCTGGATAGTGGTCACAAGACTTGCCCAAAGACAGGTGTTCTCCTAACTCACTTGGGGCTGACCCCCAATTACAGTCTTCGTAGTGTTATTGCCCAATGGTGTGAATCTGTTGGCATGGAAGTTCCCAATCAGGTCAGTAGCAAACCGAAACCATCTAAACTATTAGAATATTCTTCTGGCGAGCGTGCCACTGTTGAACATCTTCTTCTAAAACTCAGAAGCGGCCAAGCTGACATGCAGCGGGCCGCAGCTGGAGAGCTTCGGTTATTGGCAAAGAGGAATGTTGAGAACAGAGTCTGTATTGCTGAAGCGGGGGCTATACCTTTGTTAATCGGCCTCCTCTCGACTGAAGATCTGAAAACCCAGGAGCATGCAGTGACTGCTTTGCTAAACCTGTCCATCAATGATGCTAACAAAGGAATCATTGTAAATGCCGGAGCTATCAAGCCAATTGTGGAAGTTCTTAAGAACGGAAGCAAGGAGGCCCGAGAGAATGCTGCAGCTACTTTATTTTCTCTTTCAGTGGTGGACGAAAACAAGGTAACTATCGGAAGCCTTGGGGCCATTCCTGCTCTTGTTGATCTATTGAAGGATGGAACCGCACGGGGGAAAAAAGACGCCGCTACTGCTTTATTTAATCTGTCAATATACCAGGGGAACAAAGCTCGCGCAGTAAGGGCTGGTGTAGTTCCACCTCTCATGGACTTGTTGAGAGATCCTAGTGCCGGTGAGCCCTCTTTACCGCATCGGGTGCTGCGTTCGTAATTCCTGTATTTTGTTGACGTAATAGTCCGATGATATCAGTAGAATGCCTTAAAGCGGGGCTTGAATGGCGCATCTGACATTGGACAGCGTATCAAATGGTTTGTATCATTAGTTTTGAGTAACATCAGTATGGGACGTCCACGTCAGATTGTTTTCTTTCTCCTTGTTTTGCTGTGAGCTGACCAGGACGAACACTATTTTCAGGTATGGTAGACGAAGCCCTTGCTATTCTTGCCATTCTAGCCACTCATCCGGATGGTCGCTTGGCCATTGGGCAAGCTTCAGCTTTACCTATACTTGTGGACCTCATAAAATCAGGCTCTCCTCGAAATAAGGAAAATGCTGTAGCAATAACTGTTAACTTGGCCACCCATGACCCCGTGCATCTGGTGACAACTTACAAGTTGGGAGCTCAAGATCCATTACGTTCTCTTGTAAATGATGGAACTCCGCGTGCAAAGAGAAAAGCTGCCCAACTTCTTGAGAACATGCGGAAGCAGTTGGAATCCACCCAGCCGTTTACAGGCTCAGAATGTTGTACGTAGCGTGGTTTTAATTATAGTTCTAGTTCATATCATTTTACGAACAAGTCGAAAATCTTTTGCCTATCATAGCGTGAGCAGCGGAGATCCATGCTCGAGTGTAAAATGAGTAATCGACTCATGCGGGAAGGAGCTGCTATCTTGTACTCTTGTGGAAGCCCAGAAGGAATCACCACATCAAGGTATTAGGCTATACTAGGAGGTGACGTGTGCTGCACCAGGAAGTGGGTGTCAATGGTTTCGATTGGGGACTCTTTTGCGACGCTGTTGTTTTGCGGCTGACATATAACTCCTAAAACTTTAACTGTTTTTTATGAATTTGGAAGTGCTGCAATATGTGGTTTTCACAACTTTTTTGAGGCTTTGCCCAAGGGTTTCTGTTTGACTTGTGACGAGTGGCTGGATACAAAAATCTACTACACGTTTTCAATCAAGTATGAGGAACAACTTTGCCGATTTACCGAGAATCCTAAATCTGTTATTAACGTACGAAATTGGATTCTACTCCTGCCTGGACTCACTTTGGGCACTTCCGCTTTGTATTCATGGTCTTCGGAGCAAGGTCCAACTGCCTAAATTTCACAGTTACCTGCTGCATTCAAGCCAGGCTGGCAATTTTCTCGATATGGGAAAGCACCCTCATAGAAAACGTGTTGACTATTTCGGATGCCTGCAGGTAGTCCTTAGGCTTAAGGGTCTATGCAATCAAATCTAGAGTGAACATTTCTCAAAACACTTCCTTGAAGACTTCCTGAAGCTTATCCCATGTTGCACTATTCTCAAGTGCCTACAAGTTGAGATATGATTCCCAATTTATAAGTCTTGTGAAGGATAGATAGGTGCTCTCATGTAGAATCATATGTTGTTTCTTTACCTACTCGAGAAGGTTCACAACAATTTTAAATGCTTGGTATACAGAATATTTAAGATTCTGGATCCACCCATTTCAATTAATTTAACTTTTAGCAAAATGATAACAATTAGAAAGTTGAATTTGTAACGCATATCAGTTGAATGCTGCTAGCCTCAATCCCATGTTTTTGAACACCTTTAAATGAGTAAGTAGTAAATTTGATACTCAAATAAAGTGACTTCAAAATTTTAATACATTCTTGTATTTATTTTGATTTAATTGATATAGTCTATAAACATATTTTAAACATATATATAATACTAAATATGTTTTGTAATTAAACATATTAAAAACCTCCTCCAAGCTCTAAACCAATTTTTTGATTTGTTAATTTTACTTTTTAAAATTTTTATGGATATACAAGTATATATATATATATATATATATATATATATATAGAAATATATATAAATATATACAAATATACATATAAAAATATACATATATATATATATATATATTCCAAATTAATTAGAAAAAAATCAAGCTTTATAAGATGTAATAAAAGAAATGAATCAAGTATGATATATATAATCTTAAAGTCTATGTATTATAAAATTGAAATTTCCAAAATTTAAGGTCTAATGCTCATTTGCAAGGTCGTAATTATCCTAATTAAGGTTGAAAAAATCAACTAAGACAAGGACAAGAGGTGCACCACTTTTGCGGAAAAAGCCATTCACAGGGTAGTTGCTGGATAGAAAATAGTGTAGTACATAGAAATTATGGAAGAAACCATTTTTTAGACTTGTGTAGACAATCTGACTAGATAGTTCCTTTAAAGTTTCTATAAAGAAATTATCAACAATAAGCCCAAGACCATTTGAAGGAGGCAAGAATCTCAAATTTGAATAATAGCTTAGAACCTTCCAACCTATTTTATGATTAATATAATAATTATCAAATCCAATACCTTTCTTTAGATTTAAATATACAACAAGGATTTATTTCATTAAATGGTGGTAAATCTCAATATGGCAAACAAAATGAAGGAAAAAATCTATAAGATGTAAGGTATTTAAAAATATCATCTGATGAATAAGATTCTCAAACTATTAGAGATTAGTTTTCATCTTTTCAAACAAATTATATCTCCCATAAAGAAGTTCCTAGTAAGGTTAAAGAACCTCATAATATGCCAACCTTAGTAGTTATAACAAGGTTTAGATATATTAATCCTTCCCTTCCTACTTTAGTAGAGAATGAGAATAGCTTAGAGGATTTTCTTCACTTCTTTGATCTAAACAAAGCAACACAAAAAGACATGATCAAAGATTTTAACTTTAATTTTCTTGTACAATTTAAATAAACTTTAGTAGTCTTATGGCTGAAAATGATATGGCTATTTATCCACAAATACCAAATGATTAGTATAGAGAATCTATAGAGTAACCTTATATACATGACCTTAATTACAAATTGATGGATGTGACTTTAAAAAAATAAAGATTTAAAATTCATTAAGATGGAATTCTAATTAATCAAGGCTATACAAAGAAGAAGAAAAATTACCTTTGACAAACAACACAAGGTTAGAACACTTAAGCATGCCATGCTTGTCTTTTTACAAGATGCTAAGAGAATAGATATTCCAAGCAATTTTGATGCCATATAGATGGAATTATATCTAGTCAAAAAAGTCTTCCCAAATAATTCACTTTGGTTGCAAATTCTCAATAGAGAAGATTTTTTTATTAAAACTTCAAGAAATAGATGTAAAGAATATAGAGTGTGATTTTTATCATATACATGATCAAATGGCTAACCTTTAAAATCACTCTTATTCAATTCCTTAAATGGTGAATCATCAAAATTGGGTAGAATTTAGGGAACTAAAACTCTGAAATTTAAGAAAAATAAATGATATATTCATTTACCTTATCTTCTATTTAATTTAATTCTTTAAAAAAGTCCCACATATTTTAAGCAAACAAGAAGAATATTTGATTAAACTTTTAAAGGAAAAAAAAATGATAGATGTTAGAAAGTAGTTATTAAGTTTTGTTTAGTTATTCAAAGTTTATAGAATTTTTGATCAAGTGAAATTTTTTTAATGAAGTGTCTCGAGTTTGAATTCAATTAAAAAAAATAAGCTATTTCAATAACCTAGTATTAATGTAAGAAAGGCCAACAATAAACAATTAAAGGATATGTAAGCCTTGTAAGGTTGATGGCATGTTCTTCTTAGATTGGAGAAGTTTCTAAAGTATTAATTTTTTAATTGTTTTAAAATATTTTTTTATCTTTAAAAGTCTTAGTAAAAATATATTTTAAGTCTTTTTTTTTTTTTTTTTTTTTTTTTTTTTTCTCCTTAGGTAGTCATTTAGATCAATCTAACATAATTGAAATATTAAGTAGTAATAGCTCATTCATTTTGATCTTATAAAAATTGATAGCTTTTGTAGCCATGTTACTTTTCAAGTAGCAAATTTCACACAATTAATTCTAAACTCTTTTCTTTTGCAAGTCGTCCCAGATAATCGCTATGTTTGAGTCATCAAATTGACTCACTAATTATTTTAGGACAAATTTTTTTATTTAAAGTGCTTAAAGTCATAATATGTAGTGAGTAGTGTAGAAATCCTTAGACAAATAGAAAATTAGAATGTTATAGAAATAGAGTTTTAGTAAGTCTTTATAGTAATTATCTTAATTGATTTAGTACTTTTACTTATTATTGAATATTAAGGATTATTTATTTAGATAAATACTTATATTGGCCTTATATTTATATTTATTACTTATAAAAAACCTATAAATATTAGTTAGTAGTTAGAAGAAGCATGAAAAACAACCTCATGTCTTTTTAGTTACGTATATAAGAAATTGAATTTATAATTTATTTAAATTAATTTTTTATTATAAAAAAATCACAAAATTAGAAAAATATAGATTTAAATTTATACTAATATTATAAAAATATTATAATAATTTTTATAATTTATTTAGAATTTACTTAAAATATTTTAGGAATTTTTAGAGTAATTTTTAAGACTTTGATAAAAATAAATTTTACTACCTTGGGAGCCATTATAAAAAAATGAAGCAAGATTTGAAGGCCTTATAAAGTTCCTAGGCTTATTGGATGTTTTTAAATACCATGATAAAGTAAAAAAATGCAAAAATATTAGTTTTACTAGTAAGAAATAAGAGGATCAGCAGCTAGTCTAGTCCTTGTGGAAAGAGAGGTGCATACATTCCATATAGGTTGTAGCACCTTGGAAATAGGTAGGAAGATAAGACTAAGGCCTTGTGGCCTCTTTTAACAACCTTTATATACTACTTATGAGCCTTTGTGAGACTCAAACTCTTGTTCTTTTAAACAAATTATCTTTGAGGTAAAAATTACTCACTTAATTTTTTTATTACTTGCCTTCTATCTTTAACCTATCATAACTTATTCATAATAACTTAGATTTATATGTTATTTATATCATTAGAAAGATAATTAGATTATTATTATTATTATTATTATTATTATTTTTATTATTTATTTTTTATTAGATAAAAATTTAATAAAAATATTGTGACTAGTTTTATAATGTACAATTATTTGATTGCACTTGCTCTACTTGTTTTGCATTATACTTCTTTTGTTCTTGTTCTTACTACTTCTACTTCACACCACCAATTATAAGCAACACTTAATTGAGGCCATCTTAAAATTGGAGTTGAGAGATAAAATTTTCCTTCTTAGATTTACTCAAGTAAGATTTATAAGCACACTTCTATTAGAAAGTGCTCTCTCTTGATTTGCACCTTTGATGAAAAAATATTTGTGACTATTCTATGATTTGAATCCATTCTTGAAAGTATTCACAACTACATTTGAAAAAAGTGATTGAAAAATAATAGTAGAAATCAAGCTTATATTATTATAATAAAGATTATATTCAGCCATGACATATGTTGCTGAATTCCAAAATCTTGCTTATAACATGGATTGGAATGACAAAGTATTTATCAAGCAATTTTGATATGAATTAAAAGATAATGCCAAAGATTTATTATTGACAATAGCAAGAGCAGATTCATTAGAGCAATTTATTACTCAAGCCATTGTATGTGACAATTAATTCTTTGAAAGATGCTAGGAAGAAAGATTTAATTAGAGAAGTATAAGTCAAGCCATAGCGACACCTTCTAAGTTTTTAGAAGCTTACTTTTTTGAATGAAAGCCTATGTAAATTGACACAATACGATTCAAACCTCTTATTGAATAAAAAAAAGACTCATTGTTATTAAGAAGATTTATAATTATATTATCAAAAATCCAAGCACATTGCTCAACTTTATCCAAAGATGCAATACAATCACAAAATTAAGAGTATGGTTGCCAACGAGGACAATATATCAAAAAAAAAAAAAAAAAAAAAAAAAAAATCTAGCTACAATAGAAATCATGCAATTGAAATCTTGCATAACATCTAATAAAGATT